ATTCATGACAAAATCTTGAGATGATGAGGAAATGTTGTTATAACTTTGTTGAATCTGGCGAATGTTGTTGAATGTCATTGAATGTATAATCAGGTTCTAGGATCTTTAGAACCTTTTCAACGGGTAGATGAACAGAGTGTCACACCAGTCATTCAGTGCATTGCATTGATGGTCAGACAACCATGACCATCACTTAACACCTCCTGTCAAAGATAGTTAGCCAACGGGTACGTACGACAAATGTTTGTCACCATGAAAATATTCCTACCCGTTACTCACACAAATAGCTTGACACCGTGGCAGTATTTCTACCAGTTAAGCATTACTTTTATGGGTCAGGCTTATTTTGTTCGAAGAAAAGACATAACTGATTTAGGAATCAGTTACGCTGAAAAAAATAATACTTCAGTATTCATGAAGTAATAAAGTATAAAGAGTAAGTGAGTGATGTTAGTTTTACGCCGCACTCAGCAATTTTCCAGCTATATGGCAGCAGTCTGTAAATAATCGAGTCTGGACCAGACAATCCAGTGATCAACAGCATGAGCGCAATTGGGAACCGATGACGGTCATGTGTCAACCAAGTCAGCAAGCCTGACCACCCGATCCCGTTAGTCGCCTCTTACGACAAGCATGGGTTACTGAAGGCACATGCTAACCCGCACCTTCACAGGTAAAGTATAAAGAACTGAATATACAATAAACAATATATGTACAATATACAATAAATTTCTATTACATGTAGCATATTTTCCAGCATTTCAGAATTTAAGTTTTTGTTGAAATGTTTTTGTATTTACCGAGGATCCTTATCAGACCACTGCCAACATAAATGTATAATAACGGTGAGCGAATGTAGTTTGATGTGACTACTAAAGCAATGGTACTGCAAGAATTGGTGTCATTGTACCCAGGTGGGAATCGAACCCATACCTTCAATTTCACAAGCATATGCTTTCCCCACTGGGTTTTCCCATCACCAATATGACATATGACAATATGTTGATATTCTGACAAGCCTTGACAATTATTTTGTATGTGAAATATCCAGTGTAAATCAAATTTAACCTGCTGTATCATAAAACATTATATGCTGTATTTATCCAATCTTTTTTTGAGGCCTGGCCTTTGAGTGTGGTCATGTTCATTGAGTGAGTGAGTGAGTTTAGATTTACACTACACTCTGCAATATTCCAGTTATATGGCAGCGGTCTGTAAATAAGTCTGGACCAGCCTGACCACCCGATCCCAAGCATTACGACAAGCATGGGTTACTGAAGATCAGTTCTAACCCGGATCTTCACAGGTCGGAAACTACCTGAAGGAATCACTGTCTTTTTAAAATATATTTTAAAATATCGCTAGCCTTTCATTTACATGACAGCAGTCTTTCAAAAATCAAAGATCTGGATCTCACAAACCCGTGACAGAATGCACCACAATCTACACCATTGTATGGTCAACAATGACCCACAATCAACTCACACCCACACCCACACCTTATATAACATGAACAATTTTCTTATTTCAACTAGCTAGTAACCAATAAGTTATTCTGCAATGCTTTGAGTTTTCAACAAAACCATACACGATCCATTCAGATAAAGCAGACATATTACCTACGGCTGGCAATACTGAACCATTACTGAAGACGAACAGTTCTCTAAAGTGCTGTTCACACTTCGTGACCCATGCATTCTGGGTATTCTGGGTTGTCCAATTCATATTCACCACCTTTGTGAAGCACAGTATATATACCACATATTCACCTACATTCCTAATGACAAAAGATGGCCAACAAGAACCGCCACCATTATCGGAGCTGCTATTCAAACAAGACAATATCAAACCGGCTTCATTTATTATCTTATACTGATCAGAGCAACTCTTTCGTCGAACTGGCTGTGAATCAGAAAATTAAACTCTTACAACTTCTAATCTACCCATGATTACCCTACAAACAAGGGCACAAAACGAAGCTTGGTGGTATCTCTATGCTACCTTGCCTCAATCGCCTTAACACTGCTAATACGTCCATTGTACGACCAGCATTGCTAACTCGCAATACCGTTTCGGAAGGATGGTATCCATTAATAATGGACCTGTCATCAGATAGGAACACGTCCGATTGTCTGCCATTGTGCTGCGTCATAGTGTTGTATACACTCGAGAAAACGTCACCCGTCTGTCAAACTCAAGTCCCCGCAGGCAATGGAGACCGATCACCAACACCTCCGCTCTCAACATAAAGGCATTCCTTTGGGATAAACTTTCACAGAATTGTTGATATACCATTCATGCATTAAGGAAGTAATGTAGGAGGGACTCTTTTTAAATTGGTTTACGACCAACCAATCCTACAAAAATGAAAAGAGATTAAAAAAATAGATGAAAAGCACACTCTGTCTTCATCTGACAAATATACACTGTGTTCAAATACAGAATTGACTCATCTAACATGGTATGGAATGCATTGCAATTTATATTTTCTTTAAGAACAGAAAAGTTTTCAAATAAACAAAATGAAAGTGTTATTTTACCTCTTCTTAATATCAATGAAGAATTTACATAACAAAATAATGTCTGTATAAGTTGCATTTTATTCTATTTTTTCTCTCACAATTTTCAAGGCCTTGCTAGTTTGTATTGACCAATATATCAAACCATGCATCAATTGGAGTCATGACTTTAAAATTAAAATACTTCACCAGCTTCATGAATAGCAATTATAGACAAATTATCAAAAGTTTATTTCCCACCTTCAAGAAATGATGAACGCTAAACACATTTGCTTTCTTGTTAGTCCGAAACAATGGCCCATTGGAGACATTCAAAGTACTAGAATGTTTGACTTTGCTTGTTATGAATATTCATATTAAAGGAGGTCAAGGTCAAGGACACAGCTACAAGATGTAAATGGTGTTCCATTACACATAAATCTTCTGCAAGAAAGGCATATACATGTCACACTCATGTCATACTCGTGTCATGCTTGTGTCATGCTTGTGTCACTCAATGTCTGTTTTTATTTCTGGAAACTGACAATTAGGCAAAATAATACAGTTTCATACAGTATGGCCTCCAAATGATACTGATGGGAGTTTCTGTAAATGCAGTTTTACATGTATCAAGCTGAAAAAAAATAATATGAAGTGGCGTTTTGTATTTTGTAGTCTATGGTTATTTTTTTTCAACTTGAGGCATTTTTTCACACTGTAACATATTTTCTAGAAAGACGTGGATGCAGCTGTTAAACAGCGAGAGAGTCTAGATGGACTATCAGTGTATGAAACAAGCCAAACACCCAGCCAGACATCGGGCTGGTAACTTCAAAATGTTACCAGTCCGAATTGAATTTAACAGACCAGACACCAAGATATATGGTGAATTTACTCAGATGTATGGAACATCTAAAACTTTTACCAGACCATTGGACTGGCTAGCTGTAAATTTAGACCATCAGTCAGAAATCTAGCCCATCTCGGGCGGTCGGACAGGCCTTATTTCATACACTGGGACTATGGAGTCTTTTTAAGTAAATCATTGGATAATATAAGCTTTAGACAAACTGTGAAGAAATATGACAGAGTAAACTGATAAATCATACTTCATTTGTTTGATATATCGTTTAAGAAACTTTAAGTTAATGATCCTCTCTAACACCACCACCTGTGGATTATAATGTGTAAATAAATGAATCTGGACCAGACAATCCAGTGATCAACAGCATCAGGGATTTGTGATTAGGATACAATGACGTGTCAACCAAGTCAGCGAGCCTGACCACCTGATCCTGTCAGTCACCTCTTACGATAAGTAGGGTTACTGAATATCAATTCTAACCTGGATCATCACGGATCGCATCACATTGTGAAGAAATATGACAGAGTCAACTGATTAAATCATACATCATTCATTTAAGAAAATTTAAGTTGAGGATCCTCTCCAACTAGACCAACTGTACATTCCAACTAGACCAACTGTACATTACAGTGGAAAACATGGCCTCCAACTAGACCAACTGTACATTACAGTGGAAAACATGGCCTCCAACTAGAAGTATACCAGGATTCACTGTATATTTACAGTGGAAAAGGATCCCTCCAACTAGACCAACTGTACATTACAGTGGAAAACATGGCCTCCAACTAGACCAACTGTACATTACAGTGGAAAACATGGCCTCAACAGACCAACTGTACATTACAGTGGAAAACATGGCCCCCAGAACCTTGAAGTATCCAGGATTCACTGTATATTGTTGGTGTCCGTCAAGAGGCCCAGATAAGCTGCATATTTGGGTAAAATAGGCACAGAATATTTCCAATTACTCATTGAAAAATAATTGTTGCATACCAATTACACATTTAAAATGTTAGATACGCACAAAGTTTAAAACATATGAATACGGAATATATCTATAAAAATCACTTGCGTAATGAAAAAGACATCAATTGGTATAAAGTTGTACTGTTAGTATAGGACTAGTGTTGTACTGTCAGTACAGGATGAGTGATTTTTTATGAAATCATTTCCATTATATTTAAGTTGGTTTTGATTAGGTATGACATAAGGCAGAACACACCTGCTTAGTAAACTTACTCAATGACATATACTTAGGTGAGTAAAATCACTGAAATAACCACATACATGTATTTGAAAGCAGTGGGTAACGGAAAATGAAATACCCACTCAACATTCATAATACCCACTCCAAAATAAATACAGTGGGTACAGTACCCACATGAGCTAAATCTTATCTGGAGCTCTGTCTGTCAACACTGATTCAAATGTCAAACATGGTTCTCCTGGCAAAACAAAAATGATATCCTAAATGAGACAGAAGACCTTTCAAGAAGTTACTGGTCAGTGGAATAAAATGATGGAAGGAGGGTTATTGAAACACTGTGTTTGCTCAACGATTCATTGTAGGAGGGTGTGTGGTTGGGATGTCGGGCAAATATCATGTTGACTATGGTATTCTCCTGAAAACTACTTACATTTCACCGCTGGTGATGAAGTCCTCCAACTGTTGGAAGTCCAGAGCTTCATTGTCTATACCAAGGTCTCGACCTGAAACACAGGTATGTTGATGAAACAATAGTGCACATGTACACATGCCTTTCCAGGTGTTCACCAGGCCCTGAGTTCTTGAAACAAACTTTAGGCTGAGTTTTTGACTTCAGTTAGAGTTTTTACTCAAATTTGAGAAAATGCAATGAACTGAAATCGATATTAAACTCAAACATAGCCGACAATTTGAGTTTGGTGAATAGAATACGTAAATTGTTTGGGCTTTTATATTTCAAAAATGCAGCTGAGTTAATAATTCAGCTGTTTCAAATAGTTAAACTCAGTTTGAAATTTGAGTAAAAACTCGAAAGGACATATGTAAAAGTAAAATAAGTGAAAACACAAAAAGTCCATGTCTTTACCTTCAAATCAAATGGAAAATTAGTTCTTGGTGTAAAATAATATAACACACACACACGCAGGTAAAGACCAAGACAGATGCAGATAGGTTGCAGCCTGTAGCCTGCAGAAGAAGCAACAGGGTGGTCAAGTAAGTGAGTGAGTGAGTGAGGTGTCTGAATGCTGTTATGCTGGAGCCTGTATAACCTTTTATACACAGGGCAAACCAGTGGTCGACAGCATGAGTCATCATAGTTACAACATGACACCATCTTATCAGTAATACAGTCAATTTTTCAGACTGAATTTCTTTCCCCGCGGATTATCACAAAGAGACATCATACTGTGAACCAATTCTGTCCCAAACCACCACAGGAAAACAATGAAGAATCATGGAAACTTGCACAAGAATTCTTGAATGAGGACAAGCATGGGGTTGTAGTCCTTTGACTATTTCTCATTAATGAGTGAGTGAGTGAGTTTAGTTTTATTTTTGGGGGACACCAGAAATGGGCTTCACAAATTGTACCCAGGTTGGAAATCGAACCCTGGTCTTCGACATGACAAGTGAACGCTCTAACCACTTGGCTACCCCACCAACCCTTCTCATTTATGACTCGCTCATAGTGAGTGAGTGAGTGAGTATGATTTTCACAGCAATTAACTGACTCAGCAAATCTTCGATCGAGTGAAAGATTAAACACAAACTTTTTATTTCAGCAAATCAGCAACTTTGGAGCATCTAGAAGTAAGCACTCATTACTAAGTGTCTCCCTACAGCTATCTTCCTGCCTGGTCATGCTGGTGAGTTAAGACGATAGCAGTATTCCTACCATACTCATACAATCGCTAATTAGCCTGCATAGCGGGGATAACAACCACAGATCAAATGTCCGTCAATGTGACCAACTGACTGGATTCAGAGAACAGTCAGTCACGCGATCACCCCTAATGGCCCATACTGCAAAGGGTCAGCAAATATGAAGCTGATTTCATCAAATTCATCATTTCCCAGAATCACATGACTAATAGTAGGCTATGGCTTCCTGTGGGAACTTAAAACAGAGACGGAGAGGCACAATGGACCACGAACAGACTTATCTGGGTTAAGATTAGACTGGAATATATTATTTGCTTTTCATCACAGTCTCCATAAAAGAAGAAACTGTTACAGGTGTTTCATTCTCACTGTACATTACATTTCAGTATTCACCCAGTCCTTGTTATCATTCATCTACCAAACCCTTACTGTAATGGGGGTAGCCAAATGGTTAAAGTGGTCGCTTTGTCACATTGAATCTCCAGGTTCGAATCTCCAGATGGGCACAAAGTATGAAGCCCATTTCTGGTGTCCCCCGCTGTGATATTGCTGGAGTATTGCGAAAAATCCAACTCCTCAATATTCCAGCAACCACGGTTGGAGACACCAGAAATGGGCTTCACACATTGTGCCCATGTGGGGATCTGACCCTGGCATTACAAACAAACACTTTAACCACTGGGCTACCCCATCGTCTCTTTCCAAGCTGAAAGAAATTGTCACCTGTGATTTCAATTCTTTGTTTTCAGACAAAAAAGTCAGTCCAGCATTACATTATATACAAAGTCAAAACAAAAAGACATACTTATGATTCATATTCACCAACAATCAAAATGATTTGGTTGGTTGGTTGGTGTGTTGTTAAACACCTCACTCAGTAATATTCCAGCTATATGTCAGGACCAGACAATCCAGTGATCAACAGCAAGAGCATCGATCTACGTAATTGGGATACGATTACACGTGTCAACCAAGTCAGCGACCTGACCACCTGATCCTGTTAGTCGCCTCTTACGACAAGCATGGGTTGCTGAAGACCAATTCTAACCTGGATCTTCATAGGTTACAATCAAAATGATAATGTAAAATATAATATGACTATCATGTTTTAATTTAGAAACACTTAGAAGAAGAATAATCAGTTTGTGGTAAGCCTCATGTTTGAGTAATGAGTTTCCAACATGGACAGAAACCGCATCTCTGAGAGACTTCAAGAAATTCATTTACGAATTTTACCATGTTGGGAATCAAACACAGTCCTTCATTATGGCTAAACTATCTCAACTGGTCCCCAAGTAATCCATTCTTGCCTCCAAATATTTTAAAGCCACCCCTTAAAGCTGTCCCGACATGGGTAGCATGTGTATAGCCCATTTCTGGTGTCCCCGCCATGATATTGCTGGAATATTGCTAAAAGCGACGTAAAACTAAACTCACTCACTCACTTAAAGCTGTAATACTGCCAAGTACAGTGTTAAACAATACACTAACATCATGTCAAGAGAAGGGAGAATGGAAGAGACTTAAAAACACTGCATGATATAGGATTCAAACCAAGATGTTTTGAATTTCAAGCAGGCACCTTATCCACTTGGCTACCTACACTGTGTGCCCCACCAATCAGCAGACATTTCCAAAAGTGACCAGACTAGACCTCACAGAGTTCACAATACTTCATGACACGCGACACCTCTGTTATCATCTTACCAGAGGTCATCCCAGTCAGCCATTGCTACTGATAATGTAATTACCTGGGATCAACATATTTGTAAACATCAAACTCATCCCTAAGGCCGTAACAGAGTAATTAGTCATTTCCCAAATATTTCGACATCATCAACAAGAAATAAAAATGTCACAAAATAAAAAAAACCAGTGCTCTGGAAAATCTGTATATGTGAATAAAATTCGAAAAAGAAATTGCTTGCGTAAATTAAGAGTTGTTTTAGTACAACTATGCATGAAATATTTCAACGGCAAGGCAGCATATGAACTGCATTAGTACCTAAGACCTCCAATAAGTGCAGTGGGGTAGCCTAGTGGTTAAAGCTTTCTCTCATCATGCTGAAGGCACAGGTTCGATTCCCACATGGATAAAATGTGTGAAGCTCATTTCTGGTATCCCCCGCCGTGATATTGCTGGAATATTGCTAAAAGCGGTGTAAAACCAAACGCACTCGCTCATTTACAGGTTCGATGCTGGTATCAAATAAACTGTACTACAGTGTTCAATGTACTACCAATCATACACAGAAGCTCAGGAATCTGTCACTATTGGGAGCTAAGTGATAAGTGCAAATTAGTCCCTCACATCATGTCAAAACAGTTTAGGTTAGGAATATTTTTAAATAAAGGTCTAGCTGTTGAGAATAACCATAATATTAAAGACTTGACTTAAAGGTCTATTACAATTTTAAACAGTAAGTAAACATTAAGTCCTTTTTTTATCTGGAACACTGTATGATATAAAATGTTATGCGGACTTAAGACATCAGTAGTCAAATCTGAATTCCAAATTACACAGATGATGTCGTGTGGGTGCAGTTGGAAAATGATATTTTTTGGTTTGTTTGTTATTCAATACCCAGCAATATTCCAGCTGTAAATAACCGAGTCTGGGCCAGACAATGAAGTGATCAACACCGTGAGCTTCTATCTATGCAATTGACCGACTGAGTTTTGGTTTTACGCCGCTTTTAGCAATATTCCAGCAACATCACGGCGGGGGACACCAGAAATGGGCTTCACATCTATGCAATTGGAATACGGTGACATTTGTCAACCAAGTCGGTGAGTCTGACCACCTGATCCCGTTAGTCGCCTCTTACAAGCATGGGTTGTTGAGGATCAGTTCTAACCCGGATGTTCACGTGTTCATGAGAAGTGAAAACTTATTATACAACGTAATGTATGCTACTGTATGATCACACATCAAACATATATGAAGACATATACCATTATAAAAAAGTAGGGGATATTGGATTTACAAGATTGATGAAATGCACATGATGAAGCCAAGGAGGAAACAGATGATGAAGAGAAATTAAGGGAAAATGTGACAATTTATTCCATTCCTTTGGAAATGTTTCATCTATGTGGATATGTATTACTTTTTCTTATATGTATTGGTATTGGCTAGTGGTATTCTCGAAAAATGGAATATCCCCTACTTTTTTGAATGGTATAACTACAGCTGTGCTTGTTGGGTGGGTGGTTTGCTTTTATGCCGCACTCAGCAATATTCCAGCTATATGGCAGCGCTCTGTAAATAATCAAGGTTGGACCAGACAATCCAGTGATCATCAGCATCAGCATCAATTGGGATACTATGACATGTTTCAACCAAGTCAGCGAGCCTGACCACCCGCTCCTGTTAGTCGCCTCTTACGACAAACATGGGTTACTGAAGAAGCTGTGCTTTAAACTAAGGGTGTTTTTGGATCTCTCCACTGCCAGAATGTTAAATCTAAGGACCTCCCCTCAAACTGCACCTCCAACACTATAGCTAGGAAAAGGACCCACTGACTTTCAGGCTTAATTTCAAACACTACCTCCGATCCAGTATAATTTTCAAAACAAAATTTGTTTACACTCTATATTATCCTGTATAATTTTGAAAATAAAATTTGTTTAAACCAAATTTTACACGACCACAGTCAAATATTGCATCAGCAGTTTGAGATAGAGGAATGAGTCATGAAAATAAGGTTTGACAAATAGACCTTTCATAAAAAGGATTTAACGAATATCTGGGCATAGTTGTACATGAAATAATGCAAACAGTTGACATTAAACGCAATCTCAATAAATATACAAAAATGATTATTCAAACATTATTTGT